GGGGGGGGAGGTGAGAGACAGAGAGAGAGTCCGGGGGGGGAGGTGAGAGAAAAAAGTTTACCGTGTGAAACTACAGTAGAATTCTCCTCATTGCAGTAACTTCTACTGGCCAAATGAATATTTATTCAGCTGTTCATTACTTTAAACAGCATGAATACAGACAGTTTGGCAATTCCAAAGTTGACCTTTCATTCTATTAGTCACATTCAAAGTATTTTAAAAACAGACTAACAAGCTTCAAATGCATAGAAACAAGACTAACGTATTCTGAAAAGATGCAAGACCACACAATTAATAAATTACAGATCATCTGGAAGTTTAAACTCCAAAAAAATTCCTTCAAAACAGTAGCATATAGATCCTCTTTGCCGATACATAAACAAGGCTAACGTGACCCATTTTTCTATGGGCCAAATGCCCAGATCTCATCCTTTATGTCCATTAAAGCTGGCTTACTTCCCAAATAGCTGACACTCAATGACCATGAAACTATCTTGTAAGATGGCTGGTGAGAGAATGACAGCAGCAGCTGCACCGAGTGGCATTACAGGATCAGCAAATATGATGGAATCAGCTGCCGCTCCTTTGCGCACTAGGAACTGGGTAAAGAGCAGAGGGGAAGTGAAGCAGAACTGAAAATTCTGTTTGGGAGATAAGCACACCCTTCACAATCTCCATGTCAGTTTTAATTGTAAATCTTCTCTCACAATCTAACAGATTGATCAGATTTTCTTTTAAAGAATGTTGTTACAAGTGATTGCTCAATGCTTGGAATCGGAGAATTTGTGTAGTTCTGATTAAATTAAGTAAATGGTTTCTCAGGAAAAGTCAGAATATATAAAATATATAGTCTAACTCCTGAGTAACTATTCAACTGACCCATATGTGCCTCTCACACACCGCACCTACCACAGGCCACTGCAAGAGAACTATCACAACGGGAGGACAGTTCTACGTTTCTGAAGGAGCCTGAATTGGAATCTCCTATCAGAAATATTGAGCTCTCTCCTTTTGTAAAGCAAAGGGTCAGAGTAGCAGAGTTTGCCACTCCTTGACTTTTCTGGTGCAGTATGTTCACTGTTCACCTCACTCCAGGTTCTTGGAACTCTGAAGACCTTACAGAGCTCACGGGTCCTCTTGTTAACCTGGAAACTTGTCTCTCAAGGGTACTTATTCTGGAAGATTTTCTGAACTACTGAAAATTGAAACTTCTACTTAGTTTTAAAACGTGGATTTTTAATATAATCCTGGTGCAATAAGGAAATTGGGTATTTTTCTAATATTCTCAAAATACAGAGGACATCAAGTGTCTACTTGATGAGGCAAACAAAGCATGTTCATACTTCTGCTTCCATGGCTAGTTTTTCCTAACTGTTACTAGCCTGTCACAAGAGGCGATAGTTCGAGGGTTGCTACAGCATATCAGGTATGGCCAGCAAGGAGATTCTTCTGCTTTTACTGGCTACAATTTACGTATTTGAATTTGAAAATTTATAAGTTGATGCATGGCTTGTTTAACCACATTATGAATGCATCATGCCTGGTCATCAGGTCCTGAGCAGAACTCGAAATGGAAGCCACTGGATCAGATGTTGAAATGGGATCCAGTTCACCATAAGACCTTTTACATTCTTAACATGAAGCTCAATTAAATTAGATCAATATAAACAAGCTCATCATATTTCATGAATGCAATTCTTAAGATCATAACTGATTTGGAGGACACAACAAGTACTATATTTTGATTAGTAAGTTATATGTTGTATAGAATCATATAGGATGACTCAGCACAGAATGCCTATGGTTCAACCCATTACGCCTATACTTTGATAGTCATCTTTTAGTTTCAATTTCTTTATCAACAAACTGCTCCATCCAATTATTTTTCATTCATACATGGGGTGTGGGTATCATTGGCTAGGCTTACATTAATTGCATTTCGTGAATTGCTCTGGAGAAGGTGGTGGTTGATGTCTTCTTGAATCACTGTAGTCCATCGAGTTTAGGGACACTTACAGTACTGTTTGGAATGGACTTCTAGGATTTTGACCCAGTGACAGTGAAGAAACGGCAACATATTTCCAGATCAGGATTGTATGAGGTTTAGAGGAGAACTTGTAGGTGGTGGTGCTACATGCATCTGTTGTCCTTGTCCTACCAGGTGGCAAATATTATGAGACAACAAGGTGCAGAGCTGGATGAACACAGCAGGCCAAGCAGC